CCCGGGCCAGCCAAACAACAATGACGGCTGCAATCAAAAAATGGCCGGGCGTTGTGGGGGCACCTGTGGTCCCAGCTACTTGGGAGGCTGAGGCAGGAGACTCACTTGAGCCCAGGAGTTGGAGGTTGTTGTGAGCTGTGATACTGCAGCACTCTACCCAGGGGGGAAGCTTGAGGCTCTGTCTAAAAAAAAGAAAGAAAGAAAAAGAAAAACCTAGGTCAGGCACTCAAATAGCTCATGCCTGTAATTTTAGCACTCTCAGAGGCTGAAGCAGGTAGATCGCCTGAGACGTTTGAGACCAGCCTGAGCAAGAGCAAGACCCCTTTCTCTACTAAAAAACATGTAAAAACTAGCTGGGAATCATGGCAGAAACTGGTAGTTCCAGCTACTTGGGAGGCTGAGGCAAGGGGATGGCTTGAGCCCAAGAGTTTGAGGTTGCTGTGAGTTATAATGGTGCCACGACGGCACTTGACCCAGGGTAACAGTAAGACTTTGTCTCAAGGCTTGTCACCTGTGGCTCAAGTGGCTAAGGCGCCAGCCACATACACCTAGGGTGGCGGGTTTGAATCCAGTCCCAGCCCGCCAAACAATGCCGGCTGCAACCAAAAAAAATGGCCGGGCATTGTGGTGGGTGCCTGTGGTCCCAGCTACTTGGGAGGCGGAGGCAGGAGACTTGCTTGAGCCCAAGAGGTTGCTGTGAGCTGTGATGCCATAGTACTCTACCCAGGGGGACAGCTTGAGGCTCTGTCTCAAAAAAATAAAGACTGTCTCAAAAAAGGAAAATCTGGCTTGGTGCCGGCACCAGCCACCTGCACCTGAGCTGGCGAGTTTGAATCCAGCTGGGGCCCATCAAACAACAATGACAGCTGCAACCAAAAAATAGCCGGGCGTTGTGGTGGGCACCTATTGTCCCAGCTGCTTGGGAGGCAGAGGCAGGAGAATCGCTTAAGCCCAGGAGTTGGAGGTTGCTGTAAGGTGTGATGCCATGCACTCTACCCAGGACAACAGCTTGAGGCTCTGTCTCAAAAAAAGGAAAATTTAGTTTATGTTGCTTCCAAGAGACACATGTATAATAGCCTGTACTGTATAAAATATACAAACATATATAATGTACAGAAAGGTGGAAAATTAAAAAATGGAAAAGGGGCCAGGTGCAGTGTGGCTCATGCCTGTCATCCTAGCTAGCACTTTGGGAGCAGGAGGCGGGTGGATTGCCTGAGCTCAGGTGCTTGAGACCAGCCTGACCAAGAGTGAGATCCCTTCTCTACTAAAAATAGAAAAACTAGCAGGTGGGTGTCATGGTGGGCACCTGTAGTGCCAGTTACTTGGGAGGCTGAGACAAGAGGATTGCTCGAACCAAGTAGTTTGAGGTTGCTGTGAGCTATGATGTCATAGCATTCTACCCAGCAATAGAGTGACACTTTGTCTCAAAAAAAAAAAAAGTGGAAAAAGATGGCGCATAGTAAGCAGAAAGGGAGAATGGGTGTATCATCACTATTCATTTGATCTTAGCCAAAAGATGACTGTGCAATATCCTGTTCCTGTAGTTGGAATAACTCAGTAGGGGAAGGAATCTGGCCCATTTGGCCCTTCATTGCTGTGACCTTGAACAAAGTAATTAACCTCTCTATGGGCAGCACCTGTGGCTCAGTGAGTAGGGCGCCGGCCCCATATACCGAGGGTGGCGGGTTCAAATCTAGCCCCAGCCAAACTACAACAGAAAAATACCTGGGCACTGTGGCAGGTGCCTGTAGCCCCAGCTACTTGGGAAGGCTGAGGCAAGAGAATGCCTAAGCCCAAGAGCTGGAGGTTGCTGTGATCTGTGATGCCACAGCACTTTACTGAGGGTGACAAAGTAAGACTGTCTGAAAAAAAAAAAAATGAGATGGGTCAGCTCCTATGGCTCAAGCGGCTAAGGCACCAGCCACATACACCTGAGCTGGCAGGTTCAAATCCAGCCTGGGCCCACCAAACAACGATGACAGCTGCAACCAAAAAATAGCTGGGTGTTGTGGCAGGTGCCTGTAGTCTCAGCTACTTGGGAAGCAGAGGCAAGAGAATTGCTTAAGCCCAGGAGTTGTAGGTTGCTGTGAGCTGTGTGATGCCACGGTACTCTACCCAGGGCAATAGCTTGAGGCTCTTGTCTCAAAAAAAAAAAAAAAAAGCCAATTCTGTGCTTCAGTTTCCCCTATCTATAAAATGAAGATAATTAAGAGTCTTACCAAACATACTTATCCAATCTTAAAGAAGGCAAGAAGGGAGAGAGTCCATTCTAACACAGAAATCATAGAAATGAATCTAACAATGAAAAAGTTCAGGGCGGTGCCTGTGGCTCAGAGTGTAGGGTGCTGGTTTCTTATATCGGAGGTGGCAGGTTTGAACCCAACTCTGGCCAAACTACAACAACAAAAACAGCTGGGCATTGTGGCAGGTGCCTATAGTCCCAGCTACTTGGGATGCTGAGGCAAGAGACTCGCCTAAGCCCAGAAGTTGGAGGTTGCTGTGAGCTGTGACACCATGGCATGCTACTGAGGGCAATAAAATGAGACCCTGTCTGTAAAACAAAAAACAAAAAAACAATGAAAAGTTCAAGTCATGGACATGGTTGCTCACACCTGTAATCATAGCGCTCTGGGAGGCAGAGGTGGGTGGTTTGCTTGAGGAAGAGGGAGACTCTGTCTCTAAAAATAGCTGGCCAATGTGGTAGGCACTTGTAGTCCCAGTTACTTGGGAAGCTGAGGTAGAAGGACCACTTGAGCCCAAGAGTTTGAGGTTGCTGTGAGCTACCATGACCCCATGGTACTCTACTCAGGGTGAGAAAGTGAGACTCTGTCTCAAAAAATAAAAAAATAGGCTCGGCGCCTATAGCTCAACCGGCTAAGGCACCAGCCACGTACACCTAAGGTGGCGGGTTCGAATCCCCAGTCCGGACCTACCAAACAACAATGAGGGCTACAACCAAAAAATAGCCGGGCGTTGTGGTGGGCGCCTGTGGTCCTAGCTACTTGGGAGGCAGAGGCAGGAGACTCGCTTGAGCCCAGGAGTTGGAGGTTGCTGTGAGCTGTAATGCCACGGCACTCTACCCAGGGGGACAGCTTG